GCGACTTCCGGGGCTCGCGCATAGGCCGCGCTCTCAGCACTGCGTTGCGACCCCCTGACTACACGCACTTACCTAAAACTGATGTAAATGGCTTCACTTTAGGGCCAAGGTGTATTTAACTTTCATGGCGATTTGTAGGGCAATCATAGTTTTCCTCTAAATTTTAGGAATGTTAAAAGTGGCTATACAGATGTATCGGACATCTCTTTACTGCTGGAACCGCGGCTCTACCCCTTCAATCGTCGATACTCTCTCTGCATGCCATACTGCCACCCCGTCGCCGTCACTACCCCTTACTACCGACGCTACCCCATCCACCGTGGCGCTACCCCAGGGACGGGAAGCAGCTAAGTTGTTGGCCTTTTTCGCCACCTTGTGTATGCAAGGCAGTGCTGATTGTCAAACGGTACCATTTACACATTGCCTTGAAACTAACATACGCTATCAGATGTTTGATCCTCTTACAAGCTGGGTCCGATTCTGATTCGGCTTTCAGGAAGTGAGTAGCTTAGCGTATTAACATAAAAGATAAATAAGTTTTGAATTATTCAAATATTTATTGAACGGAATGCTGCAATGTTCCAATCAATCGCTGTTGCATGCGCTTAACACAATATTAAGAGCCATGAACCTTTACATGACTGGAGGTGGTACAATTACGTAAATAGCCTGACATGCTTTGACTAAATTATTCAGCAAAATGAAATACGCTGATAATACGTGAGAAAAATGAACTGTTTAAACTAAAACAAATAGTAAAAAAGTAGAAAATTGAAAACGTACAAGGAAACAAGGTGTAGATTGCTAGATTCCAAAACAAACATTCAATGGTGAACGCAATCTTCTTTCATGAAACCAATACACTCTTTTCGACAGCAATCGACTAATAGTGCTTGGCGTGTCGAACAATTTCATTAGCGGTTACATTCAGTCTGTAGCAGAGTCCCTGCAAAGTAGCAACGTCGCCGGAGGCATCGTGAGCACTATTGACAGGCACGTCATATTGTTGAGCCAGATTTTTCAAGGACGGGAGAGACCCCTGCTGAAACTTCTCCCGCAACACAGCCAGGGTGTCACTGGACCCGGCGACAACGTCGAAAAGACGGTCCTCCAAGTTGTTTCGCCGGCAGTCGCGATAGAGCAGGGGAAAATCCATACTGAAACAGAAAACACCACAATATAAGGCACTGTTCGAAATTTACAATTTTTCTACGCACTCTGGAAACTCGTGTCCGATACAGTGTAACAGTTACAAGTGCGATAATATATGTATCACAGTTAAAACTTAAAACTGTAGTACCACACTTCACACTTGAAGGTGCTATGTGTAGTAGTGCACTTTAAAGTGTGATACACGTGTGTGTGGAACTTGGAAGCGTAATACATGTGTGTGGGAACTACAGTTAAGTGTGATACACATGGTAATGCACTTATAACTGGACGGTATCACACTTGAGTTTCCAGAGCACAAAATTGTTGTGAACTTTCTCATACTAAGCATGAATTAACACACTCCTAGCATACAAAATACGCAGGAAGACGTTGAAATATATTTTAAGTTACGTAAATATTAGCAAAGTTCAGAACAAGGTTCAGCATTCGTTAAAAGTAACGATTAAGTTAAACTTAACGGTTAACATTTTCGACTAACTTTTAACTTAACGTTAACTTTTGCTGAAATGTAACTGTTAACGTTAACGATTAACTTTTTGGGACAAACTTCAACGATTCTTCCGTTAAGTTACTTTTTCTTCAGCAAGCCCC